TTATCTGAGAAATTATTTCTGATTTCATTTTTTCCAGATCCTCTTTTGTTGCCAGTTCAGGGAGTCCAGGTAGTTGAGTATCAGATTGTTCCATCTCGTTTCTCTTTGGGGCTGCTGTAGGTGATCTGGAAGTCTGTTTCTGAGGCTTGTTTACATGTCTTCTCATTTCCACGGGGGTGTAGGGGGGTGCTTCTGGCACCCGCGTGGCTCACCTTCTCTGCCCTAGGAGCTTGGAATGGCGGCAGGGGAGCCTCTTCCGCTGTTTGTTCATTCTGCATCTCCTTATTTTGCAGATAAGATTTTGTGGATGTGTGACCAGGAAGTAGGCATTCTCTCTGTGTATGACTTCCTGAAACTGAAGAAATATCCTGGAGTTTAGCATGTGGAGAGCATAGTGTCATGTTTTCTGTTCTATTTTCTGAGACCATAGGGATCTCTTGTATTTTGTTCATTCTGTCTTCGCAGATATTAAAACAGTCCCTGACAGATACTAGGCACTCAGCGTTTGTTGAATGAGTGAATTTAAAGATCTGCTGGTTGCCTGGCTTGGTATACCTTTTTGTTAGAATAACTTCCTCAGAATTTGCATGTAATTTATAACTTTGGAACTATAGGGGGCCTCAAGTTTTATTTTTTCTTCAAACATTTTCTCACCACAACTACACCTAGAGGCAATGCAGTGTGTTAGAACACACAGTGAGCCCCTCTGTGTGCCCGACACTACTAGCACTGGAATCCAGAGAGGAATACGATGTGGTTCTTGTTCCCAAGGAAGACAGAGAGGAAGACCTGGGGGCAGGTTAAGCTACACCTGCAGCCAGCAGCCAATTACACATGCCTGTAATCCCAGCACTCAGGAGGCCGAGGCAGGAGAGTCCGGAGGACCACTGCAAGTTCCAGGCTAGCCAGAACCACACTGTGAGACCCTGTCTCAAAACAACAACAATAACAACAAAACTATACTTGCAAAATTCCAAATAGGGCTTAGAGAACCAACTCTTTGATTTGGGAAGATACCCAGCAGGGAAATAGCTGGGTCAAATGGGACTTCCAGTCCTCGTTGTTTGAGGAATCTCCATATTGATTTCCACAGTGGTTGCACCAGTCTGCACTCCCACCAACAATGGAGAAGGGTTCCTTTCTCCCCACACCCCCGCCAGCATTTGTTATTGGTTGATTTCATGATAGCAGCCATTCTTTCTGGGGTGAGGTGTTTTCTCAACCTTGTTTTGATCTCCAACTCTTTGATTCAGTGATTTCTTTTTTTTTTATTGCTAACCCCCTAATTTTTTGTTTGTTTGTTTGTTTGTTTTGGTACCGGGGATTGAACTTGGGACCTTGCACTTGCGAGGCAGGCAGCAGAGCCACTGAGCTAAATCCCTGGCTCTACCCCCCTAATTTTTATTTTAGGGTCACCCTTTGGAGTGATCCTGATGATGGGATTTGGGGGCTATTTGGAGATGAAGAGAGGCCCCTCCTATTCTGTGATAAGAGCAATAACTTCTGCTAGGGAGCTGAAACTGGAGCATGTACAGGTTATGTGTGTTCTAAAGAAAACAAGATGGCAAAGTGTTCGACTGCCGTCTCCAGTCTTGCGTGAGTTGTGTCTTGTTGTTATCTTTTTTGAGACGGGGTCTCACTGTGTAGTCCAGGCTGGCCTTCAACTCTCTGTGTAGACCAAGCTGGCCTCAACCTCAAAGTGATAGTCCTGCCTCAGCCTCCCAAATGCTGGGAGTATAGGTGTGCACCACCATGTCCGGCTCTACAGTTATTTTACAGCAAAAATATACTTTGATGCTTTCAGATTGTGACTGACTTGTAATTTGGAGTTTGCTTTGTTTAGCTTTCAAATACTCTTGGTGAATTAGGTGAGGGTGATAATAGGGGCAGCCGGGGCCAAGAACAGTGGCACAACTGACCTGCAGGTGGGACAGGAGACCCTAAGTCTGTCCCACGGCTGGATTCAGTCCTTTTGTGAAAACCTGGGATATCCCAAGGGCCTTTTACTCTCTGGAGTTGGGTTTGGGAAGGATGGGGCCAGCTGCTGTGGGTAATTTGCTTTCAGGCAAATTTAACTTTTCAAGTAGAAAGGCTTGCCAGGTATGGTGGCACAAGCCTGTAATCCCAGCACTCAGTAAGTAGTAGGCTGAGGCAGGAGGATTGCCAGGAATTCGAGACCAGCTTGGGCTACATAGTGAGTTCAAGGCCAGCCTGAATTACAGAGCAAGACCCTGAAACAAACAAACAAACAAAAATAGAATGGCTGAAACTTTGTTTTTGTTTTTTAATGCTCTTTGTTTTATTATTTTACCCATGCTGAAGGAGCTCCGCTAACCATTGTGCTGTTGTTTTTCAGTGTGGCACTCCTGGCTTTGGCGTCTCATCCCACAGGTGAGAGAGAGAGAGAGGGAGGGGGGGAGAGGGAGAGAGAGAGTTCAGTGTGCTCTGGGCCTGGCACTAATCCCACAGATACCCAGAAGAGAATGTGGTCACATATTTGCAGTGCTTTTGATAACTCACTAAGCAGGCTGGACTGCAGCTCAGTGGTGGAGCATGAGGCCCTGTGTTCCATCCCCAGCACCACCAGTAATTAAAACGAAAAGGAAGACATGGACTTACTGCCCAGGAGCTAACTGTCACCCTGCCTGAATTTGGATACCCTTGCATCTTCTGGTGATGTCCGTCTCAGGTATACAGAAGTGTCCATTACCTGCCAAGTAAACTAGTGCTTGCTTTGCTCTCTTCAGATTCCTTCCCCCAAGGGTCCAGAATTGCTCTGTAGTTCTGGTGCTAAAGGATTTGCTGAAAAAAGTTCAAATTCATTCTATTTCCAGCTGACCTCATTTTGTAAATCTTTACATTATATGTCACCATCCAGTTTGCACAATTCTAGCGTAAAGTCAGTCTTTAGAGCTCATTTTCACACCATTGCTGCCTCCGTTGCTCCAGAGCTGCTGCTTAGATTCAGGAATTACCCACAGTGCTCTACTCCATCATGCTTTTTTCACTTTGAAAGGCTTTGCAGTCTTATGGTTCCATTTTCTGTTGCTAATAACAAGCACACAGACTGGGGAAATTATAAAGAAAAGAGGTTTATCTGGGCTCCCAGTCGTGGTCCAAGGTCACGGGGTCATAGCTGGTGATGTCTTTCTTGCTGGCAAATCCTGAGTTTCCTCTAGTCTCCCTCCCTTGTAGAAAGGCGCCCATGTCCAGTCACGGGGCCCCTGCCTTGATGATGACGTTATCTAATCCTGGTTACCTCCCAGAGGCCTCACTTCTAAGTGCCAATCCCCAGGGCCGATCCCAAAGCCAATCAGATTGACACTCCTCCCTCACCTTATCCCTGTTCCTTCCCCCTGAAGTTGTGCAGTACACAACTCAGGCACATCGCTTCCAGATAAACTCAGAGCAGACATCAGAGCAGACAGTGAGGGCACATGGATATTATGGTAGGAATCTGGTGTGAAGGACGACAGAAGCTTTGATTCGGAAGACCTGGGGAATCAGTTGCCCTGGATTTTGATGGGTCCTGGTGATATTAGCTCATGGTGGTGATAATAAAGTTGCAGCAGATAAAACTGAATCACTGGATCTTAGAGTTGATTTGTGTTTAATTTTCTAAGAAAGTTCAGTGTTTGTGCCGTTGGTCACTCCCACCAGCAGTGTGAGATTCTGGTATTTCTATAACCTCACCACTGTTTCATTTGAGCTCTTCTGCTGAGTAATGGTCTCCAGATGGCCCTTTTGCCTGAGCTTCCCTCCTTCCTCCCCTATGAGGACTAGAGGCATGGTCTTTGTAGATGCACCCTTGCTGTGTGTGGGGTCAGGCAGGACTCCATGGGCTGGGCACTGGATTGGGTCCTGGGTAGGTGAAATTTCTTCCTTGTCCTTTGGGCCTCATGATTCATGTAGAGGCTCCAAGAATCCCCACACCTTGCTTGAGAAGGCCCCTCCTTTCCCCTCAGACTTTTTGAGCAGTAGAGAATTCTCCCTATGTTTAAATTTTGCACTTCATATTTTTATGGAGCCCCTCTGCTGTGGTGTCCAGAGAGAATTTCAAGGAGCCAGAGGAGCAGGGAGACCTCAGGAGTCTGACCCTGAGATGACCTTGGAACCTGGGCTGCCCGGTGCCCATACATGAGCCAAAGCAAGCAGTGCTTGACTCCACATTTCCGCCAGTGGCGGAGGCATGAGTGTGGCAAAGGCATGAGGAGTGTGCTCTCAGTTAGTCTTGAACATGGCAGGACTGTGTCACACTTGTCACCATGGCACTTCCTTGCTCTATAATCTTCAGAGAAGCACGGTCCCCTCCTGCCTTAGCACAGTTTGAGCTGGAGCTTCAGCCACACATTGCCTACCAAGCATGTTGCCAGCCCTCCAGTTACTTGCTCGATGCACCAGCATGCAGCTCGGAGCAAGGCAGTGTGGACCTGTTGGCTGTGAGCATCTCTGCAGTGTTTATGGCCCTGGGCTGAACTCTCATGGGGTCAGGGCCAGCCAGCCACTGCACTACAACCTCCTCAGGGTTGTTGTACTGGCCAGCTTTCCTGTTACTGGGACACAATACTCAACACCCACAATGTAAAGGAGAGATTTAATTTGGCTCAGATTTTAAGGGGGTTTAGTCCATGGTCAGTGGTTCTAAGGCAGAAGCATCATGGTAGAAGAGGAAGGTGGAACAAAGCTGCTCAGTTCATGGTGTTCATTTGGGAAGCAGAGCAGGGGAACAGTGCCAAGCGGGCGGGGGGAGGGACCAGATATAGTCCCCAAGGTCACGTCCTCATGGCCTACCGAGGCATAGCCAGAAGTGTGCTTTACTATCCCCTAGGAGGCCCCTAAGCCCATCCAGTTGACAATTAAGCTTCATTACCACAGTCACTAATTCTTGCCATGTAGGGGCTGGAATGCACCCTAATTGTGCTAGTTTTTTGTTTTGTTTTGTTTTTTGAGACAGGGTTTCACTATGTGGTTCAGGCTGGCCTTGAATCCACTATGTAGCCCAGGCTCACCTCAAACTCGTGATCCTCCTGCCTCAGCCTCCTGAGTACTGGGTATAGGTGCTACTTTAGTAAGAGAAGGGCAGGGTGAATATATAAAAGGGGAAATGTTTGGGGCCAGCTGGAAATTGAGGACCACACAGCCAGTGAGAAACCAGGGAACATTCTCTTAAAGGAGAGCAAGAAATACACAGGCCTTTCAGATACATTGTGTTCAGCAGTGTTTGCTCCATGCTAGGTACAGTGCTAACACAGTGGACAAGGGGGAATGTAATAGCATGGCTGTCCTAAAGCATTGGCAGTTCTGGGGGATGGGGAGAGAGGCACAGAGTGAACTAGGTGCTGTGTGAGGAATGTGTAAAGGTTTTAGGCCTGGCTCAAGGATGTGGGCAGGCTATGCTCTTTCTCAGTAATTTACAGGATCAGTTTTTGGGATTTGGGTAGGAGTTATGATCTGATTGATGAATTCCTTAGGACTTTGAGTTCTTTGCCTCCCTCCCTCCCAGGGTACCCCGGACTGTTCCTCTGCTCCTCCAACCCCCTCCAAAGCCTGGGCTGGGCTCTAAAACTGCCAGCACACCTGTGAGTCCAGTTCACCCCCAGGGGTTTTTCCGCTGAAAGACGGGGTGCCAAGGCCAGGCATAGCCAGGGGGAGGGATCTCAAGGTCCTGGGTCTGACTGATCACCCTCTGCCATTCCTCACTGTCACGATGACCACTGCTTTCCTGTCATAGTGAGAGGGGGGCACTTGGGAAGGAGCCAAGAGCCAGCAGCTGCCCGGGAGATGGACAGATTCTTCTCAGTTGTCCCTTCCATATGACCGAGCAGCGCCTGCCACTCTTGAGTCCTCAGGGTCACCTTGGCTGTCACTTCTGCGGGGAAAGGGACCTCAGAACACACGAGTGCTCACTCTGCCCTAGAGAGCTGTGCCCAAGGGTGTCTTTTCTTTTCTTTTCTTTTTTTTGGTACCGGGGATTGAACTCGGGTCCTTGTGTTTGCAAAGCAGGCGCCGGAACCACTGAGCTACATCCCCAGCGCAAGGGTGTCTTTTATAAGTTCTCTCCACCACCATGGGTCCTGATCGGAGGTAAAGGCTTCAGTGGAATCATGGCCCAAGGAGAACAGGAATGCCAGGCTGCAAGAAAACAAAATTCCAAGAAACCTTGGACACATACATATGTGGACAAAGATAACAGTCACAATAAGAAGTAACTTTCTGAAGAAATAGAACTTGGAACTGCCTTTCCAATAGATGGATGAATCATGTGAGATCACTCAGTCTCCCAGGAGGTGCAGAAGCTGTTACATCTCTCCTTCTGAAATCCTTAATTAGTTGGCACGGTAGAGAAGGGTACAGTGCCTACACATCCCACCGCACACATGACATACCCAGGATGCTCAGGGAACTGCAGTCCACCAGGACTGAGAGGCAGACCAAGCCCCAGGATCCCGAGCTCCTGCTGAGTGTCAGGAATTCCACGTGTGGAAGGATAAAGCTCTCCATTGTGGAAATGCTTATTCCTTTTCTCAGGACATTTTGTGGAAGGCTTTCTGCTTTTTTCATCTCCTGACTTCTTGTTTGCGACCAAGTTCAAATTCCAGAGAGGGAAGCAGCCAATAAGTGTGATTATTTCCTCTTGCCCCAAGTAGAAGTAAAAGAATGATCTTACTTCACAAGAAATAAATGTGACCCTTGGACCTTAAACTAAAATGAGTATGCTCAATGGGTCTGGCCTCTGTGCTGTTTGTGCAGTAATTAAGCACAAAAATGAAAAAAAGATGTCAGGGGAATGCATTCATGTTCTTTTTTTAGACATAGGCTGAAAAATAAGAAAAAGAAAAATCCTAAGAGAAGACTCCCCCCACCCCACATTGTTCCTGGGACAGAGAGGCAGGGATCTGGATTTACTGGGGTGCACATTCTGTCTTTGTGGTTCAAGACTTATGCAATCTTTTGTACCTCTCTTCCCTGAGCTCCAGTTTAAATGGGGACAACAAAGCCTCACAGAGTTGTGAAGATTGAAGGAGATAAAGGCATAAAGCTTCTAGCAGAGGCCCCTGCACAAGGCAGGCTGTCACCAGACAGGCATTATTATTATGTGGTTGTTCGTATTAAACAGCACTGCCAATAGCAGAGTCCCTGGGGAATCAGCGTGAGACAGCTCATTGGTGGAGGGCTGCTCTGCTACACATCCTCACCTTGGTTTCTCAGGACAGTGGTGCAGGGGCCCATGGGGAGTATAGGGGCCCATTGTCATACCATGGCTGTGCTCCGCAGGTGACCTCTTCAGCGTCCTGGACTTCCCGTTCCTGTATTTCTACAGATTCCACAGCAGCTGCTGTGCCAGGTAACCCTGAGCTCACCCATTCCAGTGTCCCTCCATGTCTCTGTCTCTGTGAAGTCCTCAGTCACTGCCAGTGACCCGAGTGAGTGCCAGAAGCCAGCAGTGGCGGATTCGGCTGGGAAGCAGCTCCTTCCGTCCCCAGCAGGTTTCCCTGGACACCTATGGGTGCTCAGGGTTGGCCTGGGTACAGTGAGGACCCCTGGCCTGTACACAGGCAGTGGTTTTCAAACTTACTGAAGAGGTGGCTTCTCCCAGTCTGTTCTCTCCACAAGCAAATCTCAGAACTTCAGTGTATTAAATTGATGAAACTGGGCTGGGGATTTAGCTCAGTGGTTCCACCGCCTGCCTCGCAAGCACAAGGGCCCAAGTTTAATCCCTTGTACCAAAAAAAAAAAAAGAAAAAAAAAAGTTAAAATTGATGAAACTAAGCCGGGTATGGTGGCACACGCCTGTAATCCCAGCACAGGAGGCTGAAGCAGGGGGATCAGCAAGAGTTTGTGGCTAGTCTGGCGTACATAGTGAGCTCAAGGACACCCTGAGTTACATAGCAAGACCCTGTCTCAAAAGCAAACAAACAAACAGCTTATGTTCTGATGTGGTGGAAAGGGCAGACCTGGGTTGAATCCCAGGATTGCTGCTGCTAATTGTGTAAAATCTGTAAAATGGAAAAACAATACCAATGGAGGGTTATTGTTTGCATCAGATCAAATATGTATATAAAGCCTTAACCATTGTGCCTGGCCCAATACATGGTGGCCACTGTTACTACCTGCTCAGATCCATTGTAAGTACTCTGTTTGAACACAATAAGGGGTATCCTGTGAAGCAGCAAGTCTTTGTGGAGAAGTGGGAGGTAGGGTTTCTCATGGAGTATGTCGTGCCCCTCAGGTGTTCAGGGCAAAGGGGAAAAAAAGATGCAGTATTACAGAGTTTTCTGCATTTTAGCCTCCAGATGCTTTTATTTATCACCCTCAGAGAGTTTCAGGAAAGCACTAACGGGCTGTGTCCTCCCAGCTCCTATCACTTTGGTGAGGCCTGTTTGCCTGCCCTTAGCTGGGATTCCACAGCATGTGTCTTAGCGCTCCTCTGGGGCCTGTGGTCTGTTTCCCTTTGAATGTGATTATTTGGTGGCAAAAACAGGCAGGTATGGAGGGAAGGTCAACAGTTGTTTGGGTATTTGAAACAGAACAGATGTTCACAGCTCATTGGTGTTGGCTTTGTGGGTTGATATTGTGATATTCTGGCTTTATTTCTGCCCCTCCTGATCTGCTGCTTTCTTATAACCCATCATGATAAACCAGGTCTTTTTCCTTTAAAGATTTGGAGATCCTTGCTTAAATTGATTTAACTCTCTGTTACATGTTACCCCTGCCTCTTGGCTTCAGTACAAAGTGTGACCTCTTTTAAAATGTGTCCAGTTTTCCCACATCTTTTCAGTGGCTCCTCCCAGGCCATATCTCTGAGAAGTGTCACCTTCAGGAGGTCTCAGGGGAGCCCAGCAGGAGTCATGGAGACCCGAGGGGACACAGTAGCCAGGATCTGGAGACCCCACCAACAGGGTATCTCTTGTTCCCAGGCTCCTTTGCTTCGGGGGACCTCCCTGTGCTTTTCAGATCTTCCTCCCTAGCAAGTGGTGGAAGAGCTGAAAGTGGAGGAGAAAGATGAGGGAATCTGTGAGTGATGCAGAAATGTCTCCCAGACTAACAAGTCAGGCAGGGGAAGAGAGTCCTGGCCGCTTCTCTCAGCGCATTGGTTTCAAACTGGAACTGGTGTCTCCTGGCCATGGTTTGCCCTGAGGGGACAGGGCAGCAGGTCCTTCCTCTGGCAGGAGGGAGTGGGGAGGCAAAGACTGAAGGGCAAGGAGGTATGTGAGGCTGGACAGCACTTGGGATGTGGTTCCCTCCTCGGATGAAGGGGTGGGAGCCACTGAAGAGGAGCCCTGGGGCTTTACCCTGCCTCATGCCACGGGCAACCAGGGCATCTCACTCTCTCCAGCTGGTCAAGGACTCATGACTTTGGTGAGGCTCCAAGAGCCATGGAAACCTGGCTTCTAACTATACCCGGGCCTCAGTTTCCTTGTTAAAAAAGGAAAACTTTGGAGCTAAGTCTCTGGGTCCTATAAGGCAGGATGAAGTCTGTTTTACTTACTCCTACTTTAGGAACTTAAGGGAAAGGGGGTGGGGGTGGGCAGAGATTTGGTCAAGGTCACAGGGTCAGTGAGCACAGCTAAGAGTAGGACTACAGACCGCTTGGTCTGATCCGTGAGAGCTGCTTGCCCATGGGGCCTCTTTGCCTTTGCGGTGTTAGACTCGCTGTCTCCAACTGCAGCCATCCAGCCTGCCATGACTGCAGATGCAAATGTGAACAACTTTGCGGGTCTCTGGGGGAACCTGATGCCAAGAATGTGGCTGTGAAACCAGTCTCATCGGATGAAGTGCAGTAGGCATTTCTGAAATTTGACCCCAGCTGTGTTTGATTCAGTTCACCCTGCTTTCGATGCAACCTGACATTTACTTAATACCTGCTATGAACAAACCACTCTTAGCTCTTTGGGGGGCAAATACAATGAGCAGGCCAAGCCCTGCCCTTCTCTCTCAGTTGTGATCCAGTTGGGGCCACACACCAGCGACTGTGATAAAGGTCACAGGGAAGCGCAAAGCCGATCTTGGGGCGGGGTGTGCAGCGGGTAGAAACGAAGTACAGCTCATGTGACCCCCTCTCCGGCTTGGAGTACAATCACATCCCTCACTCTCCCACTTTAAGTTTCCAGTGAAAGCTACACCCAGTGCAGCTGGGCTCTTTCCCTTCCCATGCAGGTGCCTGGCGTCACTTCCAATGCGAGGCTTCTGTGGAGGTTGGCCTGGCCGGGGACTTGTGTCCTCAGCCAGTGTTGCTGGAAGCAGCCCTCCCTTCAGGCCAGGGCCCCGTCCAGACCTCTTCTGTCACAGAGAACTGGAAATCACACCTGCCAGTTTGCTTTGCTTAAATGAAATTAAGATCCTCCCTTGATAAGCACCAAGCTCTAGAGCTAATACAGGATTTAGCAGAAGCCATCATCTGTACTTTTTGTGTTTCCGTGATTTAGCCAGAGACCTCTTAAATTTCTGCATTCCATCCCCGCAATGAAATGTGCTCATTCCGGGAGCCGGAAAAAGTAAAGCTTTATGGGTTTCTAAGTCTTGGCTGTTTTTACCCAGAGATGACCGGGAAACGCAGGTTGTGAAGAGGTTGTGTAATCATCAGAACTTGACTGGTAAAATGGAATGGAAACTAGTGAGCTGATGGCCAGAGAAAGACACCTCCACTAACTAGAAACTGTCTTCTCCTCCCAGTGGGGTTCTCGGGTTCCTGCTCATGCTGAGCACAGTGAAGCTGCAGAGCCTCATGGCCCCTGGGCAGTGTGCATCCTGGGTCTTCTTGGCTAAGGTAAGAGAGGGGTGGGCAGGGGGAGCTCTGTCTTGGGCTTGTGCCGTGGTGTCCTCAGTCATCTGCCCTCAGCCTGATCTTTTGCCTAACCGGGGAGCAGTTCCTGAGGCCTTCTCCCTATTTGCTCAGCGTGGCAGATTCCATCGTTATCACACTGCCAGAATATGACCAGGGCTAGCCCCCTTAACTTCCATGAGCCTTCCTTTACGTGTCAGAAAATGAGAGCTTTGGTAAGTGATCCCTTGAGCCATCTCCAGCCCTAAGGGACTGGACTTCTAGGTGCCCAGGGCAGTTCTTATTCCTTCCTGGGGGTGTCCAGAGCTCAAGTGACTTATACAAGAGGACTCAGCCTGAGGAAGGAACAATTGCAGGAATGTCCAGGTTTCGGGGCTTGGATGAAGCCTTCAGAAGAGGAACTGTTACAAGAATGGCCACGGTGTGTCTGAATGACCATGGCCAAAGCACAATAAAAGAAAGAGGTGGAGGAACTGCAAAGGGACAGAAGCAGCCTAGCAGCAATGGGAGGCACTGTTGGAATGGCAATGCTTGGGGACAAGCTTCTTTCTACTGGCCGGCTTTATTTCCCTCAAGTCTATCCCTTGTGTCATCTGGAAGGAGTCAAGGTCCAGGGCCAGAGCTGTTGCTTCTGAGGAGTGAGATTTCCCAGTCAGCTTCATCTAATGAAGTAATCATTGAAGTTTGTGCCTTCACTCATTTTGCAGTGGGGGGAATTGGGGGTTTTTTCCCCTGGGGAGAAAAACCACAAATGTTTCTTTGGAAATAAGATTCAACAGTGATATTTTCACCTACATGGTCTACTTTGTTTTGGTACCGGGGATCGAAGTTGGGTCCTTGTGCTTGCGCAGCAGGCAGCGAAACCACTGAGCTAAATCCCCGGCCCTACATGGTCTACTTTTAATAGCATTAATAATTCTGGTTCCAGCAGAATGTAAAAATGCTTGAGATACTGATTTCTAGCATGAGAGAGTGAAGAGATTGACAAAGTCTCTTCTCCAACACCAACTAGAAATTTGGAGAAAGACTGTTCACAGCATTCATTTCCACACTCCGAAAATTGATTCCAGGCATAAAACAGCCTCAGGAGCATTTGTTCATGGAGACTACTGAGCTTTGGGTAGGAGCTGAAAGGGTTCATGATGTACTTCCCTCCTCCCTGCAAGCTTTACATTGTGATGGTCCAGCCAGAGCAGAGTGGACTGTGGAAACCACAGCTTTGCTGCTGCTTCCAGAAGGGGCCCTATCATTGGGAGGATTGGTGGTAGATGGGCAGGAGAAGCCAGTAGTCCCATAGCTTGAGTTTAGAGTCTTCTTTGGATCAACCAATGGACCAGTGGTCTTGCTGGTGACTTAAGTAGCTCTGGGAGATGAGAGAGCCATTAGGGACTTCCTAGCTCTCCTTGTATCCCAGGTTGAACTTGGTCTGTGTGCATGAGCTGTGGAGATGGAGCAGGGCCAGGACACCCATGCATCCCCTGGCCAGTGGCTCCTGTGTGCACACTCACAGGACATGTGAGACAGCCGGCAGCCAGAAGCAAAGGCCAAGGCAGACATGAACACAGCCTGAGGTTTGAACAAGCTCCGAAGCCCACACACAGAATCAAGGGTGAAGAGAAGAAGCCTTTCTGGCATGAGGTGTTTGAGGAAAACCCCAGACTAGTCTTTGCCAGAACACGAAGCTGTTCGACATAGAGATGACCCCTAGAAACAAGGGAAAAAATTAATACAGATATCAGCAACTGTACTTTATTTGGAAGACAGATTTCACAGACTTAGTCTTAGAAAAATTACTAAATAAGCAAAGCAACAATAACAGTTCTTGTGGGAAATATCTGAATCCAGTTGCTGCCATATATTGTCTTAAATGCCCAGTATTCAACCAAAAATTAGAGACATTTAGAGAAGCAGAATGTGGTCTGTGTGCAGGAAAAGAACAGTCCATAGAGACCAGCTATGAATGACTCTCCATAGATATAGGATTTAGGCAAAGAGCAATGCAAAGTACTTAAATATGTTCAGAGATTGGAAGGCAGCCATGTTTAAAGGATTAAAGGCTCAGTGAATATAAAATTCAATAAAGAGGTAGAAATTATTTTAAAGGTAAGAATGGAAATTCTGGATTCTAAAAATATAACAAATGAAAATTCTCTAGAGACTCAACGACAGATTTCAGATGGAAGAAGAAAGAGTAAATGAACCAGAAGGTCCAGCAAAATCAATTATTCAATCTTTGTAAGAAAGATGTTTTTTTAAAAAGTTGAAAAAATGTGAACAGAACCTCAGAGACCTGTAGTCGATGAAGGATAGCAACATATGTGGAATGACAATCCCAGAAGAACAGGAGACAGGGATAGAAAAACTATCTGAAGAAATATTGGCAGAAAGCCTACATTTGATGAAAAAAATTAACTTACAGAGTCAGGGATTTAGCTCAGTGGTTCCACCGCCTGCCTTGCAAGCACAAGGACCCAAGTTCGATCCCCAGAAAAAAAAAAAAAAAAAAATTAACTTATAGACCCAGTGAGCTCAGGAAGCCACAATAACAAAAAAGAAACTTACCTAGACAAATTCTAGTAAAACTGCTAGAAAACAAAGAGAAAATGTTTTTTTGTTTTGGTACTGGAGATCGAACTCGGGTCCTTGCGCTTGCGTAGCTGGCAGTGAAATCACTGAGCTAAATCCCCGGCCCACAAAGAGAAAATCTTAAAAGCACCAAAAAAAAAAAAAAAAAAATTTGTACATATGTGAAGGAAAAACACTGCAATTAATGGCAACTTCTCATCAAAGACAGTAGCAGCCAGGAGGCAGTATGATGACACAGGTTGAAAGAAAAACTTGTCACCCAAGAATTTGTTGTACAGCAAAACCAACTTCAGATGTGAAAGATAAATACATTTCCAGATCTGTAAGGACTGAGAAATGTGTTGCTAGCAGCCATATCAATAATTACATTAAATGTGAATGGATGAAATACCCTATTCAAAAGACAGAGATTATCAGATTGGACTTTAAAAAAAAACAAGACTTGACTAGAGACACACTTTAAATGCCAAGATACAAACAGGCTGAAAATGAGGATGTGGAAAAACTGGAACCCTTGCACTGCTGGGAATGTGGATACATCACTTTGGAAAACAATTTGGTACATTCGTAAAAGGTTAAGCAGGAAATGACTACAACTCAGCAAATCTATTCTTACAAATCTACTCAAGAGAAATGAAAATGTAAAAGCCTTATGCATGGATATTTATAGGAGCGTTATTCATAACAGCCAAAAACTGGAAACAATATAAATGTGAATTTATTAGCAAATGGATAGACAAGATACATTTATTCATACCCTGGGATATTAGCCAACAATAAGGAATGAGCTATGCTTATATTGTTATGACAGAGGTGAATCCCTGAGAGAAGCTACACATTACACATAATATTATTCCATTTTATGTGAAATGTCCAGAAAAGACAAATCTATAGAGACAAAAATGTATCCTGATGTTTTCTTGGAACAAATTGACTACCATTAGGCTTGAGGGAGTTTTTCTGGGTAATGGAAATGTTCTAAAACTGGATTGTGGTGATGGTTCCACAGTCATTTAAATTAATTGTGATCATTAAAACAATTGCACTTTAGGGAGGTGGTTTGTGTAGCTCAAAGGTAGCATGCTTGATTGCTATGCACAAGGCCCTGGGTTCAATCCTTAGCACCTCAAGAAAAACAAAAGAGCCATTGCTTTTACATTTACAAAAGGTGACTTTTCTGGCATAGAACCCATCCCTGGAAGCTGTAAAATGTGAGTGCTCTAAGCACCATGCTTAGATCTTGTCCTTTACAATTTGGTGACATTTTCTCTTCACCGCCAGTGCCATGAGCATCCTTTTTATTTTTCCATTAAACTCCAAGGGAGGTTTATAAGATGGAGGCTTTTTAATTGACTGGCATGGTTTAATGCTAATTGTTCTTAAATACCGAGGATTGGATTAGATGAGCCATTAAGGTCTCTTTTAGCTATTACTATCTCTTTCAGAGATCAAGCAATCTCTCTTCTTTTTCTCTTCTACTGCAAGCAAGTGCTGTGATCCTAGATGGTAGAATACATATCTATCTACACATGCAAACCTGTGACATTTGAAATCCAATACAATTGCATGTGGTTGTTTAGCATTTCCCATGATGTCATTGTGACTCTAGTGGCACCAGAATGGTCAGAAAGTGACTCAGAAGGATGTTCCATCAGTGCCAGAGGAGACTTGGAGTCCACCAAAGATTCAAAGATACTGAGCAGGAAGGTCTTCCTCAGGGCTGAGGTGCCTTTTTTCCCTGGCTCCCAGAAGACCCATTCTCACCCATTTTGTAAGGTGTCTCATCACCTCCGTAGTCCCCAAGTTCTGCAAGGAGGTATCCACGTATCTCTCTGGTCCTCGCTTTCCTCATTGTCTTCTACCACGAGGGGGAAGGTGCCTTCTACACCATTTTATATGGCTATTATGATTATTATTTTCTCTCTGGAAATTCGCAAAACATTTTAAGAACTAAAAATATCAGAATATTTGGTAGCCTTTAAAAATAAATTTCTCCCTCTTCATTTTGGTAACTTCAGGAAGTCAGGTGTACAGTTGCTGCCCCTGTAAAATCCTGGGACCCTGCTTGCCATGTGAAGGATTACTGAAGGAAAAGTGAATGGGATTAAGAGAAAAGCAGTGAAATGTGGGGATATACATATAAGGACAAGGCGGCCTGAGTTTTCATTTTTCCCCTGGTGGTCTCTCCAGCAGATTTAAGTCCTGGCGTGAGCTGTGCCCTGTCCTTGTTGGTATCAGACTCACGGGGCCCTCAGCGTCATGGAGAAGAAGCCGCCAGGGCCCAAGTGAATTGGTGCCAGGGCGAGGAGGGGAGGCAAGGTGTCCCAGTGGCCCAGCCCGCCAGGGTCCTGAGTGTCCAACATGCACTGCCCTTCAAAAGCTGCCTCTTAGGGACACTC